CACCTGGGAGGAGCCTGAAGGCTCCATTGTGCCCAGCTGGCTCCTGGGGCCCCGGCCTGGCTGAGCCTCCCAGGTGCGGGGTCTCGCCTGCCTTGGCAGGAGCCGCCATGGGGGGCACGGTTCCCACCGCGGCTGCGTCACCGCTCTGGAGTTGGCAGCGGGTGTGGCTGGCAGCCCATAGCAAGCTGCCTGACCCGATCGCAGGCCTGGGTCTGCTGCCCCACCGTGGGAGCCGTGCGTGGCATGGTGCATGCGGGGCTGCGCCTGTCTGGAGGGGGCCTTCCGGAGCTCAGGGGCTCCGCTCTGCTGGGCCGCGGCTGCCCTGTGCCTCCTGCAGCAGATGGCAGGGGTGCCACTGGTGCCTGCCAAGATGGCGGCATGCGGCTGTGGGGCGCGGGGGGCCTCGCACACAGGGTGCGTGGCAGGACCATCCTGAGACGTGCAGCCCAGCTCCCCTGGTCATGGGATGTGGACAGAGCCACGCCTGGCCCCGGGGGCCACTGGGACTGGATTGGGGGGCGCTCACTGGAGGAGGCGCAGTGTCGGGGGGGGTCACCGGAAGAAGGAAGGAGCAGGCAGGGAGGGAGGCAGTGGGCATGTGGGGGAGACGTGGGCTGGCTGGACGGCCCTGAAGCCACTCACAGCCAGGGCTGCCTGTGCCCAGGACCCCAGTGGGCCTCCAGAGAGAGGCCCTAGCGAGGCGCCTGCTCAGGGTCTCAACACTACCACCACAGGCCAGGCAGGCCCCGCGGACTGCGTCCTCGGGCCACCACGCCTCTGCCCAGCTCTAGGCCTGTCTGGCCGGGGCCCTCTGGAGTGAGGCATGGCTGACACGAGGCTCTGGGTGCCTCTCTGGACCCTCAGTGGCCCAGGGCTGGCAGGACAAAGCAAGTGCCAAGTTGCTGTGGCATTTGACCATTTGCATAGGACTTGGGACAGCACCTTAGAGCCTCCCTACCCGCTGGGAGCCAGACTGGCCAGCAAGTGTCCCCCTCTGCCTGCCCCCTCCACATGTCCCCTCTGCCCGCCCCTCCACAGGTCCCCTCTGCCCGCCCCTCCACAGGTCCCCTCTGCCCGCCCCTCCATGGAACAGGGGGCCTCACGTAGCCCGCCCAGATCAACCACATTGGGTAGGTCTAAATGTCTCCTTCCCCTGTTGGCCCAGCCCCCACAGCCCTCCATGGCCCCACTGCCCGCCACAGTCCCCATGGTCCCCCGGGCCCCCCGTGACCCCCACATCTAGATCTACTTGGGAATCTTTCAGGGATCCTACTCCAAGACCACAGCCAGGGCAGGGACAGGCTTCACCAAGCCCCACCGCTGGCCCTGTGCAGGCCACCACCCCTGTGGGGGAGGGGAGGACAGTCTCTGGGGACCATCGCCCTGGGCTTCTCGGGGCTGCAGAAGCCTCCTTTGTCAGCAGGCCGGCCCCGTGTCCAGGCTGGCTTGAGCCTCACTACGGGCCTGGGCCCCAGGGCTGCTACCGCCCTGGGGTCATCTGATGCCGTTGGCCGTGGTGCCTGGGCCTGTTCCTTGGCTCTGGTGTTTACTAACACAAGCGGGAAGTGCCCACTGGAGAAGGAGGGGCCATGGGATTGCTCCCCAAGTTCCCGCTGTGGCAGCAGCAGGCGTAGCTACCTCCCTGTCCCTGGAGGTGTGCCAGCCTGTCGGAGGAGGCTGTGCGAGGGAGGGCAAGGGCACCATTCCAAGGCCACAGACTTGCCTTCTCTAGGGACTCGAGTTTCCCCGTTGCCTGGAGACCTTGCCCAGCTCTCCCAGGGGGACGGTGAGGGCCGGGCCCGGGCCTGGGGAGCAAGCGAGGGCCAAGGATCTCTGCAGAGATCGCAGGGCACAGACTGGTTCCCAGGGCTAGGTGGGTCCCTGAGCTGGTGGGCAGACCCCGCCCCCGCCCGGCTCCAGCCTTGTGCACCTGGCCCTCCATCTCCCGTTAGTGCCCTCGGGTCCAGCCTGCTGCCCACCATGCTGCTGCCCACCACTGTTCCCGCAGAGGCGTGGGCGGCCGGCATCACCGAAAGGAAGAGGGGCTTGCCTCAGGGCTCCCTGTCTGCGCTGGACGGGCTCCCCAGTCTGCGCTGGACAGTCCAGCTGGAGCAGAGAGGCTCCTGGCCAGGTTGGATGGCCTGAGCCATGTTTCAGAGCCTCGGGGACAGTCTGAGGACAGAGCGTAGCCCTGTAGGGTGGGCGTATGGTGGGGCCAGCCTCTGCCCAGCCTGTGAGGCAGGGGGTAAAGGCCACAGAGCTGGGTCCAGAGCCATGGGCCACAGAGGGCAACCTCCAGCCGCGCTCCTCCGCCTAATGCGTGGAGCAGCGTCTCTGGGGGCTCCACCTTTGACCTTTCTCAGGCTGGCTGTCCAGGTGGACACGGGGAGGCTCGAGGCCCTGCTCAGCGCACAGTGAAGGACAGGTGGCCGAGGGGAGGGGTGTGAGGGGAGAGGGTCCTGCGGTGGATGGGCCAGGCCTGCGGTCCAGGTGGGCCAGGGATCCAGTCAGAGCCTGCCTGTGGGAAACGGGCAGAGGGTGAGCGGGGCCCAGCTCTGAGGTCCTGAGGCTGAAGTGGGCGACCCCCTCGGGGCCACAGTGCCCCCGAGTGGCAGCAAGTGGAACTGGAGGCCCCGGCTTGGCGGGAATGGCCCAGGAGAGTGGGTGGGTGGTGCTCGAGTTCCCTGAAGGTCTCCAGAGGCACCTGTGCCGCGTGGGGGGAGACGGGGCTTTGGGGCAGAGGGCAGGGCAGGAGTGACCTGTGGCCCCTCCACACCTGCCTGTGCTCCGGCAGACATCGAGGTCCCAGGGCCCTCCCGCATGCACAGGGTCATCCCCTGTGCAGGCCAGGGTGTCCCCTGCCCAGCCACCCCACGCTGCCCACACCCCAGGGGCCCTCTGGACTGAGTCCCGCCCAGCACCCTGGAGATGTCCACTGCTGGGCCACACCAGCAGTCCCTGCTGCCAGCCGGGGCCCAAGGACATGGTTTCCAGGGCATGGAGTGGTGTGTGGTCAGCTGGCTGGCTCATGGCGGAGTTGGCCAGGGCCTGCAGTCTGGCCCCAGTGCCCACCTGAGGGGCCCGCCCCAGCCAGCCTGCAGCCCAGAAGCTGAGCTCAAAAGAAGGCTTTGGAGAGCTCTTTTCTTTAATTCTTGACTGGTAACGCCAGCCCAAAGGAAGGGGCTGTGCTGAGGGCCGGGGCTGGTTGGGCCGAGGGGCTGAGGGCCGGGGCTGGTTGGGCCGAGGGGCTGAGGGCCGGGGCTGGTTGGGCCCAGGGACTGAGGGCCGGGGCTGGTTGGGCCGAGGGACTGAGGGCCGGGGCTGGTTGGGCCGAGGGGCTGAGGGCCGGGGCTGGTTGGGCCGAGGGGCTGAGGGCCGGGGCTGGTTGGGCCGAGGGGCTGAGGGCCGGGGCTGGTTGGGCCGAGGGGCTGAGGGCCGGGGCTGGTTGGGCCCAGGGGCTGAGGGCCGGGGCTGGTTGGGCCCAGGGGCTGAGGGCCGGGGCTGGTTGGGCCGAGGGACTGAGGGCCGGGGCTGGTTGGGCCGAGGGACTGAGGGCCGGGGCTGGTTGGGCCCAGGGACTGAGGGCCGGGGCTGGTTGGGCCGAGGGACTGAGGGCCGGGGCTGGTTGGGCCCAGGGACTGAGGGCCGGGGCTGGTTGGGCCGAGGGACTGAGGGCCGGGGCTGGTTGGGCCGAGGGGCTGAGGGCCGGGGCTGGTTGGGCCGAGGGGCTGAGGGCCGGGGCTGGTTGGGCTGAGGGGCTGAGGGCCGGGGCTGGTTGGGCCGAGGGGCTGAGGGCTGGGGCTGGTTGGGCTGAGGGACTGAGGGCCGGGGCTGGTTGGGCCCAGGGACTGAGGGCCGGGGCTGGTTGGGCTGAGGGGCTGAGGGCCGGGGCTGGTTGGGCCCAGGGACTGAGGGCCGGGGCTGGTTGGGCTGAGGGGCTGAGGGCCGGGGCTGGTTGGGCTGAGGGACTGAGGGCCGGGGCTGGTTGGGCTGAGGGACTGAGGGCCGGGGCTGGTTGGGCTGAGGGACTGAGGGCCGGGGCTGGTTGGGCTGAGGGGCTGAGGGTCGGGGCAGGTTGGGCCCAGGGACTGAGGGCCGGGGCTGGTTGGGCTGAGGGGCTGAGGGCCGGGGCTGGTTGGGCTGAGGGGCTGAGGGCCGGGGCTGGTTGGGCCGAGGGGCTGAGGGCCGGGGCTGGTTGGGCCGAGGGGCTGAGGGCTGGGGCTGGTTGGGCTGAGGGACTGAGGGCTGGGGCTGGTTGGGCTGAGGGGCTGAGGGCTGGGGCTGGTTGGGCTGAGGGACTGAGGGCTGGGGCTGGTTGGGCTGAGGGACTGAGGGCCGGGGCTGGTTGGGCTGAGGGGCTGAGGGTCGGGGCAGGTTGGGCCCAGGGACTGAGGGCCGGGGTTGGTTGGGCTGAGGGGCTGAGGGCCGGGGCTGGTTGGGCTGAGGGGCTGAGGGCCGGGGCTGGTTGGGCCGAGGGGCTGAGGGCTGGGGCTGGTTGGGCTGAGGGACTGAGGGCTGGGGCTGGTTGGGCTGAGGGGCTGAGGGCTGGGGCTGGTTGGGCTGAGGGACTGAGGGCTGGGGCTGGTTGGGCTGAGGGACTGAGGGCCGGGGCTGGTTGGGCTGAGGGGCTGAGGGTCGGGGCAGGTTGGGCCCAGGGACTGAGGGCCGGGGTTGGTTGGGCTGAGGGGCTGAGGGCCGGGGCCCGTTGAGCCGAGGGGCTGAGTTCACATTTGCTGGGAGGGATGAGGCCCCTCTGCATCAGAGAGGAGGGCGGGAGCAGTCTGCAGAGCCCAGCCTTGGCCAGAAATGTTCCCACCCAGGCCGGGACCCTTGCAGAGCTGGGGCCTAGCCTGGACTCTTCCCCATGGACAAGTGACCGCCGGACCAACCGCTGGACAGTACTGGGAGCCCCCTTGTGCCAGGGGCGGCGCTGGCCTGGGGTTGGGAGTGGGCCATCCTCAGTACTCAGTGCCATCTGTTCTGTCGGTCTGTCTTCCCAGGGTGGCAACAATGCTGGCCACACGGTGGTGGTGGATGGCAGGGAGTATGACTTCCACCTGCTTCCCAGTGGCATCATCAACAGCAAGGCCGTGTCCTTCATCGGTGAGTGCCGGCCCAGCCCTCCACACCCGCCCCGTGGAACAGGGCAGCCTGGGGCTCCATGTAAGGGGTTGGGCACAGGCCTCCTTACTCGGGAGGTCCTCCTACCCCTGCTGGAGCAGACAGACGTGCAGACAAGGACAGGGCCCGGCCTGGAGCTGCCCCGAGGGCCCGAGGGAGGCCCTGAAGAGTGCACGGAGCTGTGTGCATGTGCACCGTCAAGCACACACGCTTGCTTGCACAGGGGTCCACACCCACACACTTGCACACTGCGAGCCAGGCCAGCTTCCTGCTGTGAGCAGCCTGTGCCAAGGGGGAGCAGCTGTCGGCACTCAGGCTGCTGCTGCAGGCCCCTGACGACCCCCCGTCCACCTGCAGCCCCCTTCCCCTGACAGACCCCCCATGCACTGCAGCCCCCCTTCCCCTGACAGACCTCCCCCCTCCACACTGCAGCCCCCCTTCCCCTGACAGACCTCCCCCCACACTGCAGCCCCCCTTCCCCTGACAGATCTCCCCCCTCCACACTGCAGCCCCCCTTCCCCTGACAGACCTCCCCCCACACTGCAGCCCCCCTTCCCCTGACAGATCTCCCCCCTCCACACTGCAGCCCCCCTTCCCCTGACAGACCTCCCCCTACACTGCAGCCCCCCTTCCCCTGACAGACCCCCCACACTGCAGCCCCCTTCCCCTGATAGACCTCCCCCCCACACTGCAGCCCCCTTCCCCTGATAGACCTCCCCCCACACTGCAGCCCCCTTCCCCTGACAGACCTCCCCCCACACTGCAGCCCCCTTCCCCTGACAGACCTCCCCCCACGCTGCAGCCCCCTTCCCCTGACAGACCTCCCCCCACACTGCAGCCCCCCTTCCCCTGACAGACCTCCCACACTGCAGCCCCCTTCCCCTGACAGACCTCCCCCCACACTGCAGCCCCCCTTCCCCTGACAGACCTCCCACACTGCAGCCCCCTTCCCCTGACAGACCTGCCCCCACACTGCAGCCCCCCTTCCCCTGACAGACCTCCCCCTACACTGCAGCCCCCCTTCCCCTGACAGACCTCCCCCCACACTGCAGCCCCCTTCCCCTGACAGACCTCCCCACACTGCAGCCCCCCTTCCCCTGACAGACCTCCCCACACTGCAGCCCCCCTTCCCCTGACAGACCTCCCCCCACATTGCAGCCCCCTTCCCCTGATAGACCTCCCCCCACACTGCAGCCCCCTTCCCCTGATAGACCTCCCCCCACACTGCAGCCCCCCTTCCCCTGACAGACCTCCCCCCACACTGCAGCCCCCTTCCCCTGACAGACCTCCCCACACTGCAGCCCCCCTTCCCCTGACAGACCTCCCCACACTGCAGCCCCCCTTCCCCTGACAGACCTCCCCCCACATTGCAGCCCCCTTCCCCTGACAGACCTCCCCCCACACTGCAGCCCCCCTTCCCCTGACAGACCTCCCCCCACACTGCAGCCCCCCTTCCCCTGACGACCCCCCCACTGCAGCCCCCTTCCCCTGACAGACCTCCCTCCCACACTGCAGCCCCCCTTCCCCTGACAGACCTCCCCCCCACACTGCAGCCCCCCTTCCCCTGACAGATCTCCCCACACTGCAGCCCCCCTTCCCCTGACAGACCTCCCCCCACACTGCAGCCCCCTTCCCCTGACAGACCTCCCCACACTGCAGCCCCCTTCCCCTGACAGACCTCCCCCCCACACTGCAGCCCCCTTCCCCTGACAGACCTGCCCCCACTGCAGCCCCCTTCCCCTGACAGACCTCCCCCCACACTGCAGCCCCCCTTCCCCTGACAGACCTCCCCCCCACACTGCAGCCCCGCTTCCCCTGACAGATCTCCCCACACTGCAGCCCCCCTTCCCCTGACAGACCTCCCCCCACACTGCAGCCCCCCTTCCCCTGACACACCTGCCCCCCACACTGCAGCCCCCTTCCCCTGACAGACCTCCCCCCCACACTGCAGCCCCCCTTCCCCTGACAGATCTCCCCACACTGCAGCCCCCCTTCCCCTGACAGACCTCCCACACTGCAGCCCCCTTCCCCTGACAGACCTCCCCCCACACTGCAGCCCCCCTTCCCCTGACGACCCCCCCACTGCAGCCCCCTTCCCCTGACAGACCTCCCCCCTCACACTGCAGCCCCCCTTCCCCTGACAGACCTCCCCCCACACAGCAGCCCCCCTTCCCCTGACGACCCCCCCACTGCAGCCCCCTTCCCCTGACAGACCTCCCTCCCACACTGCAGCCCCCTTCCCCTGACAGACCTGCCCCCCACACTGCAGCCCCCTTCCCCTGATAGACCTCCCCCCACACTGCAGCCCCCCTTCCCCTGACAGACCTTCCCCCACACTGCAGCCCCCTTCCCCTGACAGACCTGCCCCCCACACTGCAGCCCCCTTCCCATGACAGACCTCCCCCCCACACTGCAGCCCCCCTTCCCCTGACAGATCTCCCCACACTGCAGCCCCCCTTCCCCTGACAGACCTCCCCCCACACTGCAGCCCCCTTCCCCTGACAGACCCCCCCCACTGCAGCCCCCCTTCCCCTGACAGACCTCCCCCCACACTGCAGCCCCCTTCCCCTGACAGACCTCCCCCCCACACTGCAGCCCCCCTTCCCCTGACAGACCTCCCCCCCACACTGCAGCCCCGCTTCCCCTGACAGATCTCCCCACACTGCAGCCCCCCTTCCCCTGACAGACCTCCCCCCACACTGCAGCCCCCCTTCCCCTGACACACCTGCCCCCCACACTGCAGCCCCCTTCCCCTGACAGACCTCCCCCCCACACTGCAGCCCCCCTTCCCCTGACAGATCTCCCCACACTGCAGCCCCCCTTCCCCTGACAGACCTCCCACACTGCAGCCCCCTTCCCCTGACAGACCTCCCCCCACACTGCAGCCCCCCTTCCCCTGACGACCCCCCCACTGCAGCCCCCTTCCCCTGACAGACCTCCCCCCTCACACTGCAGCCCCCCTTCCCCTGACAGACCTCCCCCCACACAGCAGCCCCCCTTCCCCTGACGACCCCCCCACTGCAGCCCCCTTCCCCTGACAGACCTCCCTCCCACACTGCAGCCCCCTTCCCCTGACAGACCTGCCCCCCACACTGCAGCCCCCTTCCCCTGATAGACCTCCCCCCACACTGCAGCCCCCCTTCCCCTGACAGACCTTCCCCCACACTGCAGCCCCCTTCCCCTGACAGACCTGCCCCCCACACTGCAGCCCCCTTCCCATGACAGACCTCCCCCCCACACTGCAGCCCCCCTTCCCCTGACAGATCTCCCCACACTGCAGCCCCCCTTCCCCTGACAGACCTCCCCCCACACTGCAGCCCCCTTCCCCTGACAGACCCCCCCACTGCAGCCCCCCTTCCCCTGACAGACCTCCCCCCACACTGCAGCCCCCTTCCCCTGACAGACCTCCCCCCACACTGCAGCCCCCCTTCCCCTGACAGACCTCCCCCCACACTGCAGCCCCCTTCCCCTGACAGACCTGCCCCCCACACTGCAGCCCCCCTTCCCCTGACAGACCTCCCCCCACACTGCAGCCCCCCTTCCCCTGACAGACCTCCCCCCCACACTGCAGCCCCCCTTCCCCTGACAGACCCCCCACACTGCAGCCCCCCTTCCCCTGACAGACCTGCCCCCCACACTGCAGCCCCCTTCCCCTGACAGACCCCCCACACTGCAGCCCCCTTCCCCTGACAGACCTCCCCCCCACACTGCAGCCCCCTTCCCCACAGCGCCTGGCCTCTCCGGCTCAGCCATCCCAGTTGGCCTGACTGGAGCCATCAGTGACCTTCTGTGCCCCAAGAGACAGGTCAGCCCCTGGCTGGAGAATCTGGCTCTCTCCTGCCTCCTTCCCTCCCCGCCCTCTTGGCCTCCAAGCTGGACTGCTGTCCTGACCTCCCCTGTGACCCAAAGCCCTGCCCCAGACCCGCCTCATCCGGAGTCCCAGCCCTTGTCCTTGTCCTGGCTTGTACACACACACACATGCACACTCACACATACACGCGCACACATGCATATGCATACACATGCACACATGCACGCACACACACACATATGCACACTCATACGTACACGCGCACACATGCACACTCACACATACACGCGCACACATGCACATGCATACACATGCACACATGCACGCACACACACACATGCACACTCACACATACACGTGCACACATGCACATACATACATGCGCACACATGCACATACATACACATGCATGCACATACACACATATACATGCATGCACATACATAAACATACACACACAAACGTGCGCACAAGTATACACATACATACACACATAAACATATACACATACATACATACACATACACACAAACATACATATATACATGCATACACATACACACACACACACCCTGTTGGCCTTGGGTGGCAAGTCCAGGCACTGCCTGGCTGTGGCAGTGGTGGGCACAGTGTCTGCCCACGGTTTATGGGCAGAGGAAGAGCATCAGCCAGGCAGGGACTCTGATTAGTAAGTGGCCAGCCCCCCCCACACACAGTCACACACCCACACCTTGCCAGCCCAGAGACAGCTGTTCACCTACACACACCACCACCACACACCCACATCTGGCCAGCCCAGCCCAGGGCCAGCCTGCGCCCCCCCCTCCACACATACATCACGTCTGGCCGTCCAGCCCAGCCCAGGGCCAGCCCGCCCCCCCCCACATCACATCTGGCCGTCCAGCCCAGCCCAGGGCACCCTGGGCCCCTTGGTGAGAGGGAGGGGGGGTCAGGGCCTGAGGACTCTGTGCAGCCCAGAGCACAGGTGGGGGTCTCCAGGGAACTGCCGTGGCCCCAGGCGGGGGGCGGGTTACGGGGAGCTGCCGTGGCCTCAGGCAGGGGGGGGTTACGGGGAGCTGCCGTGGCTCCAGGCAGGGGGGTCACGGGGAGCTGCCGTGGCCTCAGGCAGGGGGGGTCACGGGGAGCTGCCCTGGCCCCAGGCAGGGGGGTCACGGGGAGCTGCCGTGGCCTCAGGCGGGGGGGGTCACGGGGAGCTGCCGTGGCCTCAGGCAGGGGGGGGTCACGGGGAGCTGCCGTGGCCTCAGGCCTGCTTAGCAGGGCAGGCAGCGCCTCCGAGCCCGCGCCTGACACCCCTTGCATCTGCCAGGTGGTTATTTCTAGACGCTGTGGCATTTGGGTGACCTTTCGCTCCCTGCGGCTTGTGTAATCCCTGGTCACTCCGTCTGGTCGCTGGCGTCTGGCCCGGCGCCCAGCTCCCTCGGCCAGGTCTGTGCTCCACCACCCCACAGGCCCGCGGAGGGACTGCGTGAGCCCTCCCCACAGGCCCTCCCCACAGGCCCTCCCCACAGTCCTGCGGAGGGACTGTGTGAGCCCTCCCCACAGGCCCTCCCCACAGGCCCTCCCCACAGGCCCTCCCTACAGGAGGGACTGGGAGGGACTGTGTGAGCCCTCCCCACAGGCCCTCCCCACAGGAGGGACTGGGAGGGACTGCATGAGCCCTCCCCACAGGCCTGCGGAGGGACTGCATGAGCCCTCCCAGGAGCTCCAGGGCTCAGGGCCCTTCAGCTCAGGCCTCTGGCAGGCCATCCTCCCCCGCCCAGCCTGGGGCCTGCGTGGCAGCCCACGGGGCCACGCCTCCCAGCGCCCACGCCTGTTCTCACCATGGCTCCACACACAAGCAGCGTTCCTAGGAGAGACTTCTGCATCACGGTGCACAGGGCGGTCCCCACGGTCCCCTTCTGAACTCTCCCACCGCCCAGACACCCCCTGGCCCGCCTGCCGTCTGGCCAGGCTTTCCTGCTGCTCTGGGCACCGTTTTCATGTTTGGTTGTTTTTTTAACCGTGGTAACACATAACCAAACAGGCCAGGCTCTGGTCGCACGAGCCTGTGATCCAGCCGCTCAGGAGGCCTCCTGAGATCTGAGCAGTTCAGCCAGCTCAGACCAAAAAGCCCTTAAGACACTTACCTCTGATTAAATACCAGAACGCCCAAAGTGGGGCTGTGGCTCGAGTGGTCGAGCACCAGCCTCGAGTGAAAAAGCTAAGGGACAGTGCCCAGATCCCAACTTCAAGCCTCAGTACCAGCACAGGTACCCATGTACACGCATGCGTGCGCGCGCGCGCACACACACACACACACACACACACAGAGTCTTTGGAGGGAGTACAGTATTGGAATTTGAACTCAGGACCTTGTGTCTGCTAGGCAGATGCTCTCCCACTTGACCTCTTGGCTTTATTCAGGTAAGTTGGCTAGTTTTTGCCTGGGCTGTGACCTTCCTGCCCGTGCTTCTAGACTGGCAAGGTTCCCGGTGCCTGCCACTACATCTAGCTTTATTGGCTGCTCCAGCTGGCCTCAAACCACAGTCTGGATTGCTTCCTCTAGAGTATCTTCGTCATAGATATGAGCTACTAGGCAAGCAAGGTATACTATTTAAGTCAAGTTTCCATGTTGTTCAACGTACTATTATATTTACTTACGTATGGCAGTACTAGAGGTTTAAATCCTGGGCCTCACACTTGCTAAGCAGGTTCTCTACCACTTGAGCCACACCTCCAGCCCTACTGGATTTGTTTTGAGTGGTTTCAGGTTCAGGACAAGTTTTCAAGGGAGGAACAGAAAGCTTATGTAAGGCCCTGCCGTGCTCAGCAGCCCAGGGCACCTGTGTCCCTGCTGAGCCGGGCTGACAGCTCCCAATGCAGAGAGCGCAGAGGCTGCGGCCAGGTCTGACGTCCCGTGGGTCACACAGCCATTGCCAGGGTCATGCACGGAGTCTCGCTGCCTAGCCCCGACCCCCGCACCCCCCCGCCGCGCCCCCCGCCGCGCCCCCCGCCGCGCCCCCCCGCCGCGCCCCCCCCCCCCGCCGCGCCCCCCGCCGCGCCCCCCGCCGCGCCCCCCGCCGCGCCCCCCGCCGCGCCCCCCGCCGCGCCCCCCCCGCCGCGCCCCCCCGCCGCGCCCCCCGCCGCGCCCCCCGCCGCGCCCCCCGCCGCGCCCCCCGCCGCGCCCCCCGCCCTCCCCACCACCCCTTACCGTCTGTGCTCTCTCTCATTTTCCTTATTCCAGTGTCAGAACATAAAATTACATTCAACGTAGAGCATCTAATTGCCAGTTTTTTTGTTTATTTATTTTGAGAAAATAAAAAGTGTTGCTAACTTTTTTCCCTGTCTGGCCTCAAATCTAGATCCTTTAAACCTCTGCCTCCAGAATGCCTGCGTTGCAGCTGCGAGCCACTGCACTTCCCCCTGTCTTGCGTCTGGGTGCAGTGGGCAGGGGGCGTGGCTCTGGGCACAGGGCTGAGGCGGCCAGCTCCGCGCTCACCCGGCCAGGCGGAGGGCCCTCATTGCTCAGGCAGATGGGACACGGGCTGGTTTCAAAGCCAGGTTGGTGTCCGGCCCTCTGGCCTGCCCGGCCGGTTGTGGTAGGGCCTGCGGGAGCCTCATCCAGGGCCTTGTGATCTCGGTGAGCAGCCTCCGCAGCCCTCCTTTCTGTTAGCACCTCAGGCTCTGTGCTGTGGCTCAGTGGCTCATTTCTCAACACCCTGTAAGACTCCATCGCCTGTAGTGCCACTGCTGACAAACACAGGCCTGTCTCCCAGCTCACCGGGAAGGCAGGCTGCGCTGGGGTCCACGTGCAGGCCTCTGGGGGACCCAAGTGCGTGTGGCCCTCTTGGGGAGCACGAACGTGAGTGGGGTAGCTGTACGGCAGGCTTCCAAACCCCGCCCCCCCAGCTCCTGCAGGGCCCGCTGTGCGGGAAGCCTCGCCCCTCCAGCTCCCACAGGGCCCTGCTCTGCTTTGCGCTTTGTGCTTTGTGTTTCTGTGGTTTGGCCAGGCTGCCGCGTCCCGTGCGGACACCGTCAGCTCGTGGCTGTGGAGTCTGGCTTGTTTCAGAGTGTAGTTCCGCAAGCTTCACCGCGCTGGGCCGTGGCCTGACCAGACCTCCTTTACAAGGCAGAGGAGTGCTCCGTCTCGGCCACTCCCTGCCCTCTGGTCCGAGTTCTGTTGAGTGTCATCGAGTCTTCTCTGCCCGTGACCGCCCCCCTCCTCCCCCATTTTGCAGGCAACGGCGTGGTCATCCACCTGCCTGGCTTGTTTGAAGAGGCGGAGAAGAATGAGAAGAAAGGTGAGCTGCTGGCTCGGTGGGCGGGCGGCCTGCTGCGCCCGGATGACCAGTGAGGGAGCAGGGAAGCCAGTGGCAGCTTCCAGGGAGGCTGGGGGGGGCAGGCTGGGGGGAGGGCAAGGCGGGGGGGCAGGCGGGGGGGAGGGCAGGGCAGGGGGGCAGGCGGGGGGAGGGCAGGGCGGGGGGCAGGCTGGGGGGAGGGCAGGGCAGGGGGCAGGCGGGGGGGAGGGCAGGGCAGGGGGGCAGGCAGGGGGAGGGCAGGGCAGGGGGGCAGGCGGGGGGAGGGCAGGGCAGGGGGGCAGGCGGGGGGAGGGCAGGGCGGAGGGGCAGGCTGGGGGGAGGGCAGGGCGGGGGGGCAGGCGGGGGGGAGGGCAGGACGGGGGGGACAGGCGGGGGGGAGGGCAAGGCGGGGGGGCAGGCTGGGGGGAGGGCAGGGCGGGGGGCAGGCGGGGGGAGGGCAGGGCGGGGGGGACAGGCGGGGGGGAGGGCAGGGCGGGGGGGCAGGCTGGGGGGGAGGGCAGGGCGGAGGGGCACGCTGGGGGGAGGGCAGGGCGGGGGGGCAGGCGGGGGGGAGGGCAGGGCGGGGGGGCAGGCGGGGGGGGAGGGCAGGGCGGGGGGGCAGGCGGGGGGAGGGCAGGGCGGAGGGGCAGGCTGGGGGGAGGGCAGGGCGGGGGGGCAGGCTGGGGGGGAGGGCAGGGCGGGGGGGACAGGCGGGGGGGAGGGCAGGGCGGGGGGCAGGTGGGGGGAGGGCAGGGCGGGGGGGGCAGGCTGGGGGGAGGGCAGGGCGGGGGGGGCAGGCTGGGGGGAGGGCAGGGCGGGGGGGCAGGCTGGGGGGGAGGGCAGGGCGGGGGGGACAGGCGGGGGGGAGGGCAGGGCGGGGGGGCAGGCTGGGGGGAGGGCAGGGCGGGGGGGACAGGCGGGGGGGAGGGCAGGGCGGGGGGGACAGGCGGGGGGGAGGGCAAGGCGGGGGGGCAGGCTGGGGGGAGGGCAAGGCGGGGGGCAGGTGGGGGGAGGGCAGGGCAGGGGGGGGCAGGGGATGCCTAGCCAGGAGCATGGCAGGGGGGAGGCGCAGCCCACCGCTGGCTGCCCAGGACCAGGTTCTTCTGGCCTCTGGACCATGGGCTTCTCCGTGGAGCTGGGCACCTGGCGGCCTGGCACCTCCGCTGGAGGGCAGCCTTGGAACCCTGCCCATGTGTGTCGCGTACCCTCAGGTCTGAAGGACTGGGAGAAGCGGCTCATCATCTCTGACCGGGCCCACCTGGGTAAGGACCCCCTTGGCCAGTGGTCTCTGCCCCAGGACCCGGGAGTCCAGGCTCTACCTTGCCCACACAGTCCTTGCCGCCTTCCAAGAGCTGTGGGGGGAGCAGGGGGGGCGCCGGGGGGCGGGGAGGGGGGCTGGGCTGGAGGCTGCTGGCCTTGTTTGCAGGCAGCTGTGCTACACTTGCGTGACTTGCATGAGGCAGAGCAGAGCCGGGGATTCTGGAGGCCAGGCACCTGCTTCTGGCCGTGCGTCTGATGGCCAGGCCCTCACCGTGCGCCTCTGTCCCCTGCCACAGTGTTTGACTTCCACCAGGCAGTGGACGGGCTGCAGGAGGTTCAGCGCCAAGCTCAGGAGGGGAAGAAGTAAGTGCCTGGCTCTCCCATGGCTCCCGGGACTGGGACTGGACCTGGGCCTGGTGTGGGGGAGGGGCCTGCAGGGGAGGGGGAGGGGCCCCTGCTGAGCACACACAGTCTGCACTGCACTCTCCCACTCACACACCTGCACACACAAACACGCATGTTCACACACGCGTTGCAGGCCCCCATGGCCGCACACACACACACGCACGAACACGGTGGCAGTGGCAGCCTCCAGCCTCCCGGGCTTGGCTTTGGGGTGTGGGAGGCAGCAGCCACGGCGCCCCAGGCCACACCCGCCGCGCCAGGCAGAAACCAGCAGGACAGCGTGGACAAAGCCACCGCTGGGCACGCGGGGGGAGGGCAGGGGCTGGAGCCCTGCCATCCTCCACCTGCCCAGCCCTTCGTTCAGGCCCTTCGTTGGGCTCATGCAGGCCGGAGCCAGCCCAGCGGGGCTGCTCCTCACCAGCTCACGCACCTTTCAGCATCGGCACCACGAAGAAGGGAATCGGACCCACGTACTCCTCCAAGGCCGCCCGGACCGGTCTCCGCATCTGTGACCTGCTGTCGGATTTCGATGAGTTTTCCACCAGGTACCCAGCCCAGAAGGCGGGCGCAGGGGGACTGCAGGGGGGCTGGGAGCCCAGGCGGGCCCTGTGAGGAGGGACGGGGCGCAGGGGGGGGGGCTGGGAGCCCAGGCGGGCCCTGTGAGGAGGGACGGGGCGCAGGGGGGGGGGCTGGGAGCCCAGGCGGGCCCTGTGAGGGACGGGGCGTGGGGGGGGGGGGGCTGGGAGCCCAGGCGGGCCCTGTGAGGAGGGACGGGGCGCAGGGGGGCTGGGAGCCCAGGCGGGCCCTGTGAGGAGGGACGGGGTGCAGGGGGGCTCGGAGCCCAGGCAGGCCCTGTGAGGAGGGACGGGGCGCGGGGGGGGGGGGCTGGGAGCCCAGGCGGGCCCTGTGAGGAGGGACGGGGTGCAGGGGGGGGGCTGGGAGCCCAGGCGGGCCCTGTGAGGAGGGACAGGGTGCAGGGGGGGGGGCTGGGAGCCCAGGCGGGCCCTGTGAGGAGGGACGGGGCGCAGGGGGGCTGGGAGCCCAGGCGGGCCCTGTGAGGAGGGACGGGGTGCAGGGGGGGGGGCTGGGAGCCCAGGCGGGCCCTGTGAGGAGGGACGGGGTGCAGGGGGGGGGGCTGGGAGCCCAGGCGGGCCCTGTGAGGAGGGACGGGGCACGGGGGGGCTGGGAGCCCAGGCGGGCCCTGTGAGGAGGGACGGGGCACGGGGGGAGGGGGGCTGGGAGCCCAGGCGGGCCCTGTGAGGGACGGGGCGCGAGGGGGGGGGGCTGGGAGCCCAGGCGGGCCCTGTGAGGAGGGACGGGGCACGGGGGGGGGGGGGGCTGGGAGCCCAGGCGGGCCCTGTGAGGGACGGGGCGCGAGGGGGGGGGCTGGGAGCCCAGGCGGGCCCTGTGAGGAGGGACGGGGCGCGAGGGGGGGGGCTGGGAGCCCAGGCGGGCCCTGTGAGGGACGGGGCATGGGGGGGCTGGGAGCCCTGGGCGGGCATGGCGTGCCACACCATGCAGTCAAAGCAAGGCTCTCCCTGCAGATTCAAGAACCTGGCCCTCCAGCACCAGTCCATGTTCCCCACCCTGGAGATAGATGTTGAAGGTCAACTGAAAAGGCTCAAGGTCAGCCGTGGACAGAGACCCAGTGCCGGGGGAGGGGGCAGAGTGGGGGCCTCGGCCTCGGGTGCCCTGGGCTGGCAGGCTTGGTGGGGGACACCCCCTCCCCCGCCTGCAGCCTCCCCTTGGCTGGTCTTCCCAGGGCTTTGCTGAGCGGATCCGACCCATGGTGCGAGACGGCGTCTACTTCATGTATGAGGCCCTCCATGGGCCCCCCAAGAAGATCCTGGTGGAAGGCGCCAACGCAGCCCTTCTTGACATCGACTTCGGTATGGCCCATGGGCCTGGGCAGACCTGTCCACCAGGCTGACCACGGAGAGCTGGGCAGCCGGGCCAGGCCCCAGGGGATGGGCTGGCCACCGAGAGCCTGGCAATCCAGGGATGAGGCCAGACCACCTTGAGGCCACAGTGCCAGGCACAGCAGCGAGCTGTCCATTTATAGGGTGCGGTGGGGGAACTGGGACGGGGACCGGGTGGGGAGAGGGACGGGGGGGGGAGAGGGAGGACCGGGTAGGGACGGGGACTGGGTGGGGAGGGGGACCGGGTGGGGAGGGGGACCGGGTAGGGACGGGGACTGGGTGGGGAGGGGGACCGGGTGGGGAGGGGGACCAGGTGGGGAGGGGGACGGGGGGGAGGGGGACGGGTGGGGAGGGGGACCGGGTAGGGACGGGGACCGGGTAGGGACGGGGACAGGGTGGGGAGGGGGACGGGGGGGAGGGGGGACCGGGTAGGGACGGGGACCGGGTGGGGAGGGGGGACCGGGTAGGGACGGGGACCGGGTGGGGAGGGGGACGGGGGGGGGAGATGGGGACCGAGTGGGGAGGGGGGACCGGGTGGGGAGGGGGGACCGGGTAGGGATGGGGACCGAGTAGGGACGGGGACCGGGTAGGGAGGGGGACCGGGTGGGGAGGGGGACGGGGGGAGGGGGGACCGGGTGGGGAGGGGGACGGGTGGGGAGGGGGGACCGGGTAGGGATGGGGACCGGGTGGGGAGGGGGACGGGGGGGGGAGATGGGGACCGAGTGGGGACAGGGACTGGGTGGCGGTGGGGACCAGATGGGGACGGGGACGGATAGGGACGGGAACGGGGTGGGGGAAGAATGGGGGGCTGGGCTCCTCGTGTCTCCCCATGGCTGCCCGCAGGCTTCGCTTGCCTCAGCCTTCACAGAGCAGCCTTCTGTCCTCACTCCCAACACCTGTGAGCGCCAAGGGCCCGGCACCGGTGCCCTCGCAGGCCCTGCCAGGCACAGTTGCCCATACCCTGGCTCTGCTGCCCCCGCCCGCCGTGTCCAGCCACCCACTGGGCCCGGGGCGGGAGGATGAGGTGACGCCGACCTCCGTCTCGCAGGGACCTACCCCTTCGTGACCTCCTCCAACTGCACGGTGGGCGGCGTGTGCACGGGCCTAGGCATTCCCCCCCAGAACATCGGCGATGTGTACGGCGTGGTGAAAGCCTACACCACCCGCGTGGGCATCGGGGCCTTCCCCACCGAGCAGATCAATGTGAGTCGGGGCCTCGGGCTGCAGGTGGCAGGGCCGCGGGATGCTGTGGACCCCACTCCTCACCCGGCGTGATGCCCCACCTCCGGTGCGGCCAGGGCGCCGGTGTCAGGAAGGGGCCTGGAAGTCCAGCCTGCTTCACCACATCAGCACCGATGAGGCATGGTGGGGAGTGGTGTGCGCATGGGGGGTGTGCTCGTGTATACCTAACTATCTGAGGCCCATCGACGCGTGGAGACCCTCAGAACATCCAGAAAGAAAAGTTACTGGGGTTGGGCTGCGGCTGTTCTGGAGGGCCTCAGGGGCCTGAGCTGCTGTTCCCAGAATCAGAGCTAGCAGCAGAGCACTGGCTTCCAGTGGGGAGCTCTGCACCCCTAGAATTCCTTCAGGCCATGGCCTTTCTTCCTCAGCCTTGTTAGGGTGGAGCTCTGGAAGCCAGAGGGGAGGTTCACACCTCTCCTCCAGGGGCGTGGCCACATCCAGAGTGGCCCCGGGAATGGGACAGCCCGGCCCCACCTTACCTACCCACACTGAGCAGGAGGGAGCAGGGAGGGAAGCGGCCCGCGCTCTGCCCATAAAGCAAAGCCAGCCTTCTAGAGTGTTCAGAAGGGCTGCCAGCCCAGAACTGCATGGGTGCACCAGGCTGGGAACGTGGAGGTTGTTCTATGGGGTAGAGGGGTGTTGAGGGTTCTTGTGCAGAGGAGGAAAGTGGGGAGAATAGGGAGTGAGGGAAGGGGAGGAGGAAGAGAAGGGGCTGAGGAGGAGGGCAGAGAAGAGAGGAGAAAAGGGCGGAAGGGAAGAGGGGGGAGAAAGAGGAGGAGGAAGGGGGAGAGAGAGGAAGGCAGGTGCACAGCAGGGCTGGACGTCCTCTCTCTTCTCACCCAGGAAATTGGAGAACTGTTACAGAACCGTGGCCATGAGTGGGGAGTGACCACAGGCAGGAAGAGGCGCTGCGGCTGGCTGGACCTGATGATCCTGAGATACGCCCATATGGTCAATGGATTCACTGCGTAAGCAGCCCTCTGGACACCCCACCCCGGGCAGCCTGTCCATCCCCATAGCTCCCTATGGGGACCTGGACCTGGACACCCACAAGGTCTGCAGAGCTCAACCCAGGGTCTAAGGGCCACACAGCATCTGTGTGGGACCCTGGTGGATGGAGAGCTGGCCCTGCGTTACTGGCATGGAGTCAGGCCCAGGGGTCCCGGTGAAGATAGGGCAAAAGGCGTCCTGCGTACAGGACACACAGGTGGACAGCAGCCCAGAACAAAGGTCACACCTTTGTCCTCAGCAGTCATGAACTTCTGAGGCCACGTGAGGACTGGTGCGGGGTTGGTGGGGGGGTCACGTGAGGACCGCGTGGGCCGGCAGGGGTCACGTGAGGACCGGCGCGGTCTGGCAGGTACTCCTGGAGGGGCCTCCCCGACCCCCCCCACACACCGAGGGTTGCAGGGACCCTATCATTCATTCCCCACCATGTTCCAAGTGCAGCCCCTGGCCTTGTCTTGAGGCCTGAGGACATCCTTCCAAAGGTTTGGCAGATCCAAAGGGATGGCAGAACTAAGGAGCAGATAAGCTGGCAGGTGGACAGCAGATGGCCATTTACTCCTGACACCAAGGGTCTGGGGTGGCATCAGGTGGGGAAGGGCCTGGTCTCTCAAGTTTTATCCTGCAGGTGGTGTCCTGAAACCCCGCTGGGAACCCCCGAGGGGCAAGCAGACTCTGGCACCTCTAGCCCAGAGGAGAGGGCCACTGCCCCACAGCTCCCCTTGGTCACCAGGAGCTCATTTGGGGCTTCTAGGGAAGAACCCCAAAGAGGAAGGGCACAAGAGATCATCCCCGTAAGGCAAAGTCCTACAGACAAGACAGCAGAGGAAGCTGTTTGGATTCACATCACCACAGCCCTCCTCCCATGAGCTCCAAGGATCGAACATTCCTTGCCATCAGCAGAATGTTGGAGTGATTTCCTGAGGCAGGGGCCGGGGTGGGGGGCGGGGGCAGGGAGCAGAGAGGTCCCAAGGGTTTATGCAGTGTTATGGGGGCACTGGTGGCATGGTGTGTCGTGTCCCAGGGCTCTGTGCAGGTGACAGGAAGGGGATGTTGATAGCGCTGTGTCTGAGTGGTCCCAGGGCCCCATGCAGGGAACGGAAAAGGCAATGATGGCATGGCATCCGAGGGGGCTTCCTGACAGGACAGCACTGCCTGGCACCTCTCAGCACACCACCTTAGGCTGATGAAGCCTGTCATAGAGGGTGGAAAAGAGAAAAGGGACCGGGCCCTGGTGGCTCACACCTGTCATCCTAGCTACTCAGGAGGCTGAGATCTGAGGATCGTGGTTCAAAGCCAGCCCTGGCAGGAAAGTCCATGAGACTCTTATTTCCAATAAACCACCAGAAAACCAGAGGTGGCGCTGTGGTCCAAGTGATAGAGCGCTCGCCTTGAGCTGAATTGCTGAGGGACAGCGCCCAGGCCCAGAGTTCAAGCCCCGTGATGGACACACACACAAAAAAAGGGAGAAAAGAACTTGGGTTCCCTTAGTACAGGGTGTACCAAGGAAGGAGCAGGGAAGGCCATGCTGTTGGGTGCCTTCTGTAGTCGTGGGCTGGCAGGCCGGTAAGTGGGCAGGCCTGAGGAGGCAGAGATCCCACCGGGGCCGTGCTACAGAGCAGATACAGCAGGCGCCACAGACAGGGGCTCCAGGCAGCAAGCGGGAAAGCGAGGCTGCTGGAGAGACGCCTCTAGTGTGGGAACTGACGGGCGGGGATTAGATGACTAAATGTGGCGCAGGCCCAAAGACATCCTTGCTCAGACCGCTGGCTGTCTTTCTGGTGCCACCCGATCTTTCCCCGTTCACTGTAAATGAGGGGCCAGGGAAGCGATGGCAGCATAGTCACGGTCTCTTCTCTTGGTTGGGGGCAGGCTAGCACTGACCAAGCTGGACATCCTGGATGTCCTGGGTGAGATCAAGGTTGGCATCTCATACAAGCTCAACGGGAAGAGGATCCCCTACTTCCCAGGTATGTGAAGGGGCCGTGTTTCTCTGGTGTCAGGAGAAGGGGACTCAGAGGGGGCTGCTTACCCCCAAAGACCTCGTTCCTTCCAGCTGGCCTCTTGTGGGTCCTTGGGGAGACCAGGCGGGTCCCCAGGCAGCTGTGGGCACTCTCCAGTGCCCTCCAGTGGTGAAGTAGCAGGGACAGGCCTCTGGGCCCCTAGCCTGCACTCTCTCGGGACACTGGGACGCCCACCTGCCTTGTGATGAATGCATCTGGTCACTCCTCTCCCAGCAGCCGCCGGGCGGGTGCCCCGGCTGGGCCCCTGCCTAGGTCTGAGCAGGCCCAGAAGTGCCCCACAGCTGTGGCTGTCCTAGGTGACCAGGGCCCTCATCCCCGTGGCACTCATTCCAGCACTTTCCATCAGTAAGGGGGTGTTAGCATCCACTGTGAGCCAGGGGTCCGGGACTCGGGGTGTGGATCCTTGAGAACGCATCCGGGCTCAGTGCTCACGCAGAGCCTGGAGGCACTTCCGCTGCGCTGCAGGGCCCCGTCCTTCCTGGCTTCTCACCTGCATTCGGGCACCACGCTCTGGCCTGGCAGGGTGGTCTGGGGTCCCCACTGACCCCATGTGTCCCCAGCTAACCAGGAGATACTGCAGAAGGTGGAGGTGGAGTATGAAACGCTGCCCGGCTGGAAAGCTGACACCACGAGCGCCAGGAAGTGGGAGGATCTGCCTCCCCAGGCCCAGAGCTACGTGCGGTTTGTGGAGAACCATGTGGGTGTGGCAGGTGGGTGCCCAGGGGGCCTAGGCCCTGCCAGAGGTCCAGGTGTGGAGACCAGTGAATATATCCGGTGAAAGGCTGAAGCGAGGCACAGGTGCCTCCAGCCTGAGAAGCTGCAACCAGGCAGGGCCCCGGGACCAGATAGAAGCACTAGCTGCCCAACGTGTGGACGGCAGGCGGGACTCACAGCTGTGAGTGTGGGTCAGAGGTCACTCAGACCCATGGTTGCCAGCTCATCCAAGACCCAGGGGGGGGGGGGGGTGTCACTGCTTCCCATTGTCGGTGGGCAAACCCCTACTTGAGTGGTCTTTATCACTAGAAAATTAGAGAGTTTGCACTCGGAGAGCAGTGCCCCTTTGCCCAGTGGGTCGCGTGGAGACGCCACACTGGGTAGTCGTGTGCTGTGACCCGCTCTGTTGTGCTTCTAGTCAAATGGGTTGGTGTCGGCAAGTCCCGAGAGTCCATGATCCAGCTGTTTTAGACCCAACAGAGCTGAGACCGGTCAGACAGACGGACGGCAGACTCCTCCCCAGCCAGCAGCAGCTGTGTGTTCCCTGCCCACACACCAGCACCATAAGCAAAACATAGGAAAACTATTTTCTGAACTTTTATTTTTCTATGTACGCCTTCAGCTGAACCCACTGAATTCTATGATCTTAAACATCTGAAAGCCAGCACTGTCTACATTTTTAAAAACATTTGTGCTATCTAAAATGAGCCTAAGTGCTTGAAAGAGTCGACACGCAAGTGGCGTATCTCCTGTGACAACAGACGGTCACATGGCACGTGGCCTGCGACCATAGATGGTCCCGTGATGCACGCACATGCCCAGTGATAACGGACAATCATGTGGCACGTGGCCTGTGATAACATATGGATCACGTGACACACGTGTCCAGTGATAACAGTCACATGATATGTGACCAGTGATAACCGATGGGCGTGTCAAGTATGTCCAGTTGGGGCCATGTTGTAATAAACATACCCAGAAGCCACTGAGTGAGAATGGTCATGGTCTGTTTGTCTTGATTTTGTCTTGTGGCTTTTATGCTAAGCGGTGACCACTCCCACGACCAGTCTTGGTGATGCTGCCCAGGGGAAAGGCCTGCCCGCAAAGAAACAGCCACTGCTCAGGGTGAGGGCTGCCGCTGGACAGAGGAGGTGGACAGATGGGATGACAGGATGGCCCAAGCTGTCCAGCCCATTGCCGCTGGACAGAGGAGGTGGACAGACGGGGTGACAGGATGGCCCAAGCTGTCCAGCCCATTGCCGCTGGACAGAGGTGGACAGACAGGATGACAGGATGGTCCAAGCTGTCCAGCCCATTGCCACTGGACAGAGGAGGTGGACAGACGGGGTGACAGGATGGCCCAAGCTGTCCAGCCCGTCACCAGCGGCAGCAACAGTATCACACATCCCCAGGCACAGGAGGGGTTACCCACTAAGCTGGGCCCGGTGGGCCGCAGACAGCTGTAATACACCTGGCCAGTGTCACCCAAGAAAATCTGTGTACCCATGGCCAACACATGGCCTCAGCTAGCTGTCCTGTGTGTGTGCGTGTACGTGCGTGTATGTAGGCCAACACTGTCTTCAGCTGACCATCCTGTGTGTGTGCACGTGTGCACACATGTGTGCATATGCACATGTGTGTACAGGCCAGCACATCATCCTCACTTGGCTCTGTGTGTGTATGCATGTGTGTAGACACTGGGTTTTGAACTCAGCCTCATACTCTCACGTGGCTTTTTCGTGCAAGGCTGGCACTCTGGCCTTTGAGCTTCCTGCTGGAGATCGTCCCATAAATCTGTGTGGCCAGCTTGTCAGTGGTTAGGGTGGTAGACGTCTACCAGCACCAGTCCAACTGGCTCTCTCAGAAACTTTCCTGCAGGCTAGGGTAGCACCAGGATCGCTGGTGGGTGGTGTGGGGTTAGTGCCATGATGGCTGCAGATAGGTCAAGATGGATCCCTGTATTTTGGTATCACTAAGCTAAGCCATGTTTGCTCAGAAAACAAAGCAGAGCAAGCTGAGGTAGGACAGACCAAGTGTAAGAAAAGTTTTTAAAAACTAATCACCTGGCTGGGTGTGGTGGCACAGGCCTGCCATCCCACTACTCGGGAGTGGGAAGCAGAACCAGATTAAAAGCTGAGTGCTGTGGCTCATACCTGAAGCAGTAACTACGCTGGAGGGTAAGAATGGGAGTTCAGAGGCCTCCCAGTTCGTCAGCCAGGGCGGAAAAGTTTCTGAGGTGGGCACACGCCTGTCATTCTCAACTCCATGGGAGGCTAAGAGAGAGGATCATGGTGCCAAGTCAGCTCAGGAAGGAAAGTATTTGAGTCTCCACCTCCACGGAAGACAGTGGATGCAATGACACAGGCCTGCAATTTCAGGGACAGGTGGATCGCAGCTCAGGCGCAATTACCCAGGAGGGAAGTCCTGTCCTAAAAACAATCACTAAAAAAGCAGGGCTAGAGTGTGGCTCCACAGTCACCCAAACCTGTCCAACGATGCCCCTCCCCCCATCGACGCAAGCACACACGCACTGCATGCACAAGGATCAGATGCTGCTCCCCTCTCCCAATCTTAACCAACCACCTGAGTGCACTGCACACTAGAGCTGCAGCCCAGGTTGGACCTGCCAGGTGTCCTGGAGGGGAGTAATGCCATCCCCTATCCCCCCCCTCCGCCCATGGCAGGCCCTTCCATGCCAGCTGGGCCACTTACCCAGAGCGCCTCTGCAGTTCCTTTAATTAAATCAACCACTTCCTTACTGGCTGAAGGCTTGCGGCGGCACCAATGGTGGTCTGTGCAGACTAGGACAGCGTTGGGAACATTTAGGAAAAGGCCTGACTGGCCCACACCCTGGAGAAGTCAATGCCAGCAAACGGGCAGAAACTCCAGTGACTCCATACCACACACACGGCCAAATTTTTCCAAATGGTGCTGAGATGGGTCTTGAGGCCTGGACGATGGGAAGGGGGGGTGGCACTGTGCTCCTCCTGGTCAGGGTCCCCATTGCGCTTGTCTTCCTGGGCTCATTTTCCTCCATGACACAGAAGAGGGACAGGGAGCTTACCCATTTTCCAGTGGGCGATGCCTGGAGGGTGAGTTGAGGAAGGGGTGCCCTCCACCAGAGGAGACTACACAGGGGAGGGCGCTGTCATTTGGATAAACTAGTGACCTGATCACGGTCGTGAATTCTCATAACCTCAAGTTGCCTCGACCACCACTGTGCGCGTGGGGCTCATACTGGTGGCAGGCTCTGCCATTCGGTCCCCGGGGCGGCCCAGCCACGCGCCCTCTCCCAGCCCCGTTCCGGCGCGGCAGCTGGAGGCAGCTTGCTTGACTTGCAAGCCCCTTCCCCCGGGCCTGGGCCCCTCCCCGCATGTGGGCCCGGCCCAGGGCAGCGTGGGCGGCCTGGCTGCGGGGAAGGCTCTGGCCTGTGGGTCTCATAACCAGAGAACGTAGCCCAGACAGTAGAGCGCCTGCTTAGCAAGCCAAAGGCCTGAATTCACACCCGGTTCGTATCCTCCCCGCAAAGCCCGAGGCGGCCCCGCGAGGCCTGGCTCGGGGCAGGCGGGCTGCGGGGGGCCTGGGTTAGCGGGGAGCACGGCCGGCTCCGTGGGCACCCGCGGCCCGGGCCCGAGGAACCCCGGCCGCAGGAGAGGCAGGAGAGGCAGGGCGCTGCACCGCTTCCAGCGTACCCCGATTTGAGAACCAGGAAGAAACCAGCCGAGGAACGTCACCAAGGGGCCGAACACACGGCGAGTCTAGACCCCGCTGCCCGGGAGCCCCGCCCCCTCCCTAGCCCCGACCTATCCCGAGCCGCGCACCGTACGAGCCCCGCCGCCAACCTGGCCTTCAGCCTATCAGGCACCAGGCACAAGCCCCGCCCCTTCGCGGTGTTTCCCGACCCCGGACCATCCCTGGGCATTTCCCGCGCCGTAGAGTCCCACCCCCAACTTGGACCCAGGCCTATCTCGTGCCGAGCCTGGAATTTTGCCCGCCTCCTACCTCCACCCAGCCAATCCCGCGCCGCGCTCCTCCCCCGCCTCGCCCCGCCCTCTCCCTGTGGTTGGCGCGCGACTGTGACGTCACGCCCACAGAGGCGCGCGGCCGTCTGCGTCCCGCGGCCCCGCGGCCCCGCGGCCATGCCCAAGCGGGGCTGCCCGTTCACGGACGCCGCCCCGCTGCAGCTCAAGGTCCGCGTGGGCCAGAAGGAACTGAGCCGCGGCGTGTGCGCCGAGCGCTTCTCGCGCGAGGTCTTCGGTGAGTGCGGGCGGCCGCTGGGCGGGGACTCCCTCCGGGCCGAGCCGAAGCCTGACCCCGGCCGGGACCCGACCCCCGGCCCCGGCCGGGACCGAGGCCGTGCTCCGCGCGTGCGCCGCCCCGGCCGGGCAGGGCCGGGTCCTGCAGGCTGGCCGAAGCTAGGGAGGGCAGCGGGGCCGCCCGCGGTCGGGCGTGGCGGTGGCCTCGAGCCTCCCTCGGGACGGCCGCCCCGGGAGGTGCAGAGCCGCGCCGTGGGACCACCCCGCGGATCCGGGGATATTGGTTTGAGGCCAGCCTCAGCCAGAACGCTGAGTGAGCCCCCTCCCGACAGTGTGCTGGCCCAGGCCTGACTTCCCAGCTCCCGGAAAACCGCCAACAGAAGAATTGAGGTGCTGGTTGGCCTGGGCAAAAATCAAGACCCTGTTTGAAAATGAAAAGGATGGGAGTATGGCTCAAACAGTAAAGGGCCTAGGAAGCCCAGGCCCTGGTTCAAACCCCAGTGCCGCCAAGATGGAAGTTAGGAGGAAGGAGGAGAAGAAAGAATTCGTCCAGCTCTATCCTCTCGAGCATCCTTGTTCTAGAACACTTGCAGGGAAGGGGTGCAGGGCTCCGAGATTCCCTCGTTAGTACACACACACACCCCCTGAGCCAGCCAGGTGTCCTCCAGGACAAGATCAGCCTCAACATGCCATTCTCCCTGTGGCTCCCACTAGGGAAAGCCACTAACGTGGAGCCCCCCAGCATCTGAGCAGGTCCCTAAGCCTCTCCTTGTAGGCTGACTGGAAGCTACTGCCCTTGATGCTCCAGCTGCAGAAGTGTGTGTGTGTGTTCGTGTGCGCACGCGCATGCGTGCTCTTGAATAATCATGTATGAGATCATGGGACCTCCCTCTCAGGCTCTCTTGGGTGGATCGTGTCTGAGGTCACAGGCTCCCTCCTCAGGTTCTCTGAGGCTCTGTGTGTCTGAGGGTCACAGGCTTCTTCCATGAACCTGCTCTGGCCTCTTGGGTGAGCCGAGTGCACATCCACTGGTCTGAGGCCAAAGGTGTAGCCCTGAGCCTCTGGCTGCTTCTAGGTCCTTGGTACCCCACACTTGAGAGGTAATGGCATCGTGGGGGGGCAGGGCTTCCTCTGCCAGCTTGCAGGAGGGGAAGGGATCAGTGAGATGAGACCAGCCGTGGTGCTGAAAACGAAGGCTGATGGAAGGAGCCCGTGTCCCACACGGTGGGGCTGCAGGCCCAGAGCCTCCTGGAGGAGGCGGCCGCCAAGCTGGGGGAGAAGGGTCCCCAAGAGCACACAGGATAGAGGCAGAGGAGGCTCCATGTGGCAGGAGCAGCACTGTGCCTGTGATGGCTGCAGCATAAACTCACCAATGGCCTCTCTCCCCAGAGAAGACCAAGCAGCTCCTTTTCCGCGGGGCCCAGGCCTGCAGGGGCCAGACATGGGGCGAGGGCTGTGCCATCGTCCACCTGCCAGAGTCGCCCCAGCCCGGCCCCACGGGGCCCCCTCGGCCTACAAGAGGACAGATGCTGATTGGGCCTGACGGCAGGCTGATGAGGCGCTGCGCCCAGGCCTCCGGCGCCGGTGAGTGGCGGCTGTAGCCCTGCCTGGCTGTGGGGCTGAGGGGGGTGGTAGGGAGCAAGACAGGCTTCCGCCTGAGGGAGCAGAGGCTCTGCTGGAGGCCCGCCAGCTCTCATGCCATTACCGGTGTGGAGAGGTTCAAAGACTGTTGCCTGTTGGCTGGTCAAAAGTAGCCCCCTGCCGCACCCCTGCGTCTGGCCCTGAAGGAGCCTAGGAACCTCCTGGTTAGTCAGTGAGGCAGTGCCATGCAGGCTGCGCAGCACAACCCTGCACAACAGAGACGCGCAGTGTGAACACTGTACGTGACAGTGATGCGCAGTGTGAACACCATGACAGGAATGCGCAGTGTGAACACTGCATGTGACAGAGACGCGCAGTGTGAACACTGCACATGACAGACGTGCAGTGTGAACACCATGACAGGAATGCGCAGTGTGAACACTGCACGTGACAGAGACGCGCAGTGTGAACACCGTGACAGGAATGCACAGTGTGAACACTGCACGTGACAGAGACGCGCAGTGTGAACACCGTGACAGGAATGTGCAGTGTGAACACTGCACATGACAGAGACGTGCAGTATGAACACCATGACAGGGATGTGCAGTGTGAACACTGCACATGACAGAGACGTGCAGTGTGAACACCGTGACAGGAATGCGCAGTGTGAACACTGCACATGACAGAGACGTGCAGTGTGAACACCGTGACAGGAATGCGCAGTGTGAACACTGCATGTGACAGAGACGCACAGTGTGAACACTGACGGGGATGCGGTGTGAACACTGACAGTGACACGCAGGGATGTGCAGTGTGAACACTGCATGTGACAGGGATGTGTAGTGTGAACACTGACAGGGACGCGCAGTGTGAACATTGTGACAGGGACGCGCAGTGTGAACATTGTAACAGGGAGCGCAGTGTGATCATTGTATGTGACAGATGCGCAGTTTGAACACTGACGGACACAGTTTGAATACTGCATGACAGGGACGCGCATTTTGAACACTGGCAGGGACGCAGTTAGAACATTGTTCGTGACAGGGACGCAGGTTGAACATTGTGTGTGAAAAGGCCATGCAGTTTTGTGTAACAGGGACATGGTTTGAATACTGTGTAACAGGAACACGCAGTTTGAACACTGTAACGGGGACACATTTGGAACACTGACAGGGACACAGTTTGAACACTGCATGTGACAGGGACACTCAGTTTGAACACTGCGTGACGAGGACACGGGGTTTGAACGTGGCATGTGACAAGGACACGGGGTTTGAAAACTGACGAGGACACGTGGTTTGAACACGGCGTGTGATGAGGACATGGTTTCAACAAGGCGAGTGACGACACGCAGTTTGGACACGGCGTGTGACAGGGACACGCGGTTTGAACACTGTGATGAGGACTGGGGTTTGAACACGGCGTGTGACGAGGACACGGTTTGAACAAGGCGAGTGACGACACGTGGTTTGGACACGGCGTGTGACAGGACACGCGGTTTGGACATGGCGTGTGACAGGACACGCGGTTTGAACACTGTGTGATGAGGACATGGGGTTTGAACACGGCGTGTGACGAGGACACAGTTTGAACAAGGCGAGTGACGACACGTGGTTTGGACACGGCATGTGACGGGCACACGCGGTTTGGACACGGCGTGTGACGAGGACATGCGGTTTGAATGCTGCGTGGTCAGAGGAGAGCTGGTGGCTCTGGACACCAGCAGCAGCGCTGACCTGGAGTCCAGTCTGGTGCCACCAGGGCCCGTGTTGCTGGATCTCTGGTGCTGAGCTTGGCTGGTAGTTAAAAGCATTCCGGGGTACGCGGGGTGGGGCGGGGGAGGGGTGGTCTCCCAGCCCCTGGGCTCTTGTCACCGTCTCCGGGCTGATGGCCTGTGTCTCCTTGCAGACTTGTCCGGAACAGCGCCCACCGCCTGTGCCTCGTGTGTGAGAGCCGTGGACGGGAAGGCCGTGTGCAGCCAGTGCGCGCGGGCCGTGTGCAGCCAGTGCACTCGCGCCTGCTGGGGGTGTGGCGCCGTGGCCTGCGCCCTGTGCGGCCTCACAGAGTGAGTGGATCCCGCCGCCCTGTCCCGCTGGGGCGGACGCGCTGACGGGACGGGGTCTGACAGTGGCCAGCGTGCTCCTTTGCTCCCTGAGGGTCCCGCGCGCAGGCGCACACACACACACACACGCTACAGATCCCACTGCCACGAAGGACGGCTCCTGCCATGAGCACTCTGTGCCTCGGTCCTCTTCCGCCGGGCCGGCCCCCGGCCCCCAGCTCCCAGCCCCCGGCCCCCTCCTAGGAAAGCTGCTGCGCCCCTGCATGGTGCCCACTGTGGGACCTGCGTGGGCTGGGAGTGCGGAGAGCCTCGGCACCAGCGCGGGCGGGGCAGTCCCATCCCCCGTGTGTGCAGAGCCTGCCCCCACCCCCCGTAAGGAAGACCCGGAGTCCCGTGCGGAGCCAGCACTGTCACCCCAAACAAGCTCAGGCCCAGCGGCTTCTAGAACCCTGTGACACTGAGGACACAGGTCATTTGACACGGCCTTTCCCTGGGGAGGCCAGGAATGCCCTGGAATGGTGTCCGTCCCCGTGGCGGGCGTGTGACACCACTGCCGGGTTTAGGCTGGAGTGCTGGATCAGGCAACCAGTGTGGCACCATTTCCATGGTCCTGTACCTTCTCGGGGCGGGGAGGGGCCAGGACCTCACACCCCCACACCCGGCCTCTGTCTCCTGCCTGACACCATAGACCACACCAAGACCCCACCTGGGCCGCCAGCCCCGCGGTGGGTGTGCTTGGCCGCTCGGGCCCAGCCCAGCAGGTAGCACGAGCCAGGAATGAGGCGGCCCTCCGCTGCTTACACCAGCCTGGCGCCGTGAACCAGGACAGCAGCGGAAAATCTAGGTTCCCTTGGCATGGCTCAGGTTCTACTGGAGTGAGACTGAGGGCCCCTGCGTAGGTGGCCCCATGCCACCCACCCGCGCCGCTGGCAGCCGCTCTGACGCAATTCACGTGAGACACCTGGCCTGGGTCTGGCCTCCATTTCCAGCTGTGTCTGGTGTCCCAGCGGCTTCTCCTGGGCCCTTGACCCACTGTGGTGCAGGGAGCTCCAGAGGCGCGCCTGGGCAGCGTCTGGGGAGAATTCTCTGTGGATGGGCTGGGCTGTGGCCAGGCAGGAGCCAAAGATGGCTTCAGCAGCGGGACTGGCTTGCAGGCTGGGGCTGGAGGTGTGAGGTCCAAGCGCTGGCTCACCTGGGAGGGAGGCTGCCCTCCCCGGCCCCGCGGCAGGCATGCGGGCAGCCCAGGCTCTTCTCCAGAGCAACCTCGTCCCCCTGGGCATCGGCTTGTCCAGCAGGGCAGTGAGGTGGGCTGAGGGCAGGGCACGACCCTGGCCCGGCCCAGGACTACCTCCTGAGATGCCCCTAGCAGGAGCCCGCGTCCTGGGGTGAGGACTCCAGCAGACCTGGGGAGGCCCTGGCGGACCCTAACCTAGTTCTCGTCTCTTCCCTGGGTGCAGCTCCAGCGACGTCTGTGAGGAGACACTGTGCACCAGCTGTGCCATGTTCGATGTGTGAGGCGGCTGGGAAGGCAGCTCCACCAGAGGGCGCCCCGGCGCCTGCCGAAGAGGCCCACGCAGCTTTTCCATGTGTTTTGTAGCTCTGGTGACAGAAGGGAGTAAACCTTCCTATTTGCACGGTCGAGCCCCATCTGTTGACTGGCGCATGCAGTCAGCCCAAGAGTCAGGGCTAGGGCTGGAGCGGAGCGCTGCCGTGGGAAGGCCTTCAGCGCTTCCGCCTGTCCTCTGCTCTCCGTGCACGAGAGGCAGGGCTGCAGGCAAAGCAGGGCGCCGCTCCTTCCCAACCAGCCCCAGAAAACCCCCGGTAAGATAAGAGCGAAAATGTCTCGTGTCCAGTAAAAACAAACTGCAGCCGGGCACAGTGATGCACGCCTGTCATCCTGGCTACGGGGAGGTAGCCCTCCACAGGACCTGGTGTGAAACCCCTTACCAACCAATGAAAAGCCAGGATAGTGGCACAGGCCTGCAGCACAGCCCTGGTGGGAAGCAGAAATGGAAGGGCTGCAGCCCGGGCCGTCCCAGACATTGATACAAAAAATAAAACAAAGGAAGGACTGGAGGTGCGTCCCAACGGTAGAGTGCCCGCCCAGCAAGCCAAGGCCCCAGGTTCAAACGAAGAAACGGGGAAGTATACCTTACTGTGGGAAGCAGCAGGAACACTCCAGAAGTGGCGGGTGGCTGAATATTCCAAGCAGACAAGAGCAGCAAAATGGCTGCTGTTCTTTTTTTAAAATACAATTTTGATCCTAAGGTTGTACAGAGGGTTACCATTCCTTAAGCCACGTGATGAGTGCAGTCCTCAGACAGTTACCCTCTCATCCCTTCCCACAAGTTAAGTTCATTCTTTATGCTCAGAAAAAGACAGGAACTACCAGACAGCCACCAGTGCCGGTGGCTCACACCTGTGATCCTAGCGACTCGAGAAGCTGAGATCTGAGAATCCAGCCCAGACAAATCCTTAAGACTCCCAGCTAGCCAGCAAAACACTGCAGTGGGGGCATACCTTAAGTGGTAATACACCACCCATGAGAAAAGCCAAGGGACAGCCTGGAGTTCAAACCCTGGTGCCAACACACAGGCAAGCGCTGGATTCTCGGGGAGCTAATACAGGGTCTCAGGTGGGAAGTGCACTGGGTGGGATTAAAGCAGAGGGCAGGCCGCGCCGGCGAGCGGGAGGAAGCATAGCTGGAAACGCTTAGCAAGCCTGGGCCGAAACAGGAAGGAGACGGGAACTTCAGTCAGGTTCCTCAAATGCTGCTGGAGGAGGACCAGGAGCCGGATGAGGACGCGAAGCTGCAGCATGGTGGCTGGAGCCGGCAGGCAGCCAGTGTTGAAGACAGCCTAGAAAAGGCCAGGCCAGCCACAAGCTCTCAAACCAAGAGTTTTTGTGAGCTGGAGTTCATCGAACTCTTTGGGAACTGTCCCGGGGCCTCCGCTTTGCCCTCCCTGCGGCCACGGCCCCCCCCCCGCTCCTGTCCTGCTGCCCGCAGGACACGTGTTGGCCATTGTGCTAATGAGGCCCAGCCGGCTGGACCACGTGCTCTTACACCAACCACCTGTTACTCCTTGGGAATCAGTGACGGCTGAAACTAATTTTTTTTAAGTTGGAAAAAGAAACGGGCAGGGTGGCTCTACAGTCCTAACACTGCAGACAGGCAGGAGGGTCTTGAGTTGGAAGCCGCCCTGCTCTGCCCAGGGTGGCGGCGGGGACGCGTTGTGTGTCCCCCATGTGTTATGGGATGTGGCCCTCAGGGGGAGTGGAGTGGAGGGGGCGGGGCCCTGGGCTCCAGCGCGCACAGCTGAGGCCACTGAAGGAAAGCTGCCAGCGTTTCAGGCCAAAGGAACGAACCTCCAGAGACGCTGCCCGCTGCGAACGAGCCCACGCGGGAAGCGCAGGAGCCATCTACTAAGAACCTGTATACACAGCACGGTTCAGAAAGGGGAGAGGACTCGAATGGACCTTTCTTGGTTCAGGAAGCCACACACGTGGCCGGAGAGCAGCTGAGACGTTCCACACCACGACCTCGGGAAATGTGGATGAAACACCAATGGGCACCCATAGCACGCTGGCCGCCCAAGCAAAGCAGCGCGGGGACAGGGGGACAGGACCCCGCCCCACCCGTGCCCGTGGGAGGGACAGCGGTGTGGCCACTGCACGGCAGGAGGTAGGTCCTTAGAACACTTGGAGGATGTCCGCAAAGGACAGTGGGACTTGCCTCGCAAAGGACAGTGGGACTTGCCTATCAGTCACCCAAAGATTGAAGCACAACCGTCACCCAGGTACCAGTGGCGCATCCCTACAACCCTGGACTGATGGCGAGGCTGAGATCTGAGGGCTATAGTTAGAGGCCAGCCTGGACAGGAGTGTTTGTAAGACTCTTAGCACCAATTAAGCACCAAAAAAGCCAGAGGTACAGCTGTAGATCAAGTGGTAGAGTGCTAGCCTGTAGCCCAAAAGCCAAGAGACAGCACTCCGGCCCTGAGTTCAAGTCCCAAGACAGCACATGCAAAAAAGAAGAGAATCTCTGTGCTGTAATTCTATGCCAGTGTTTATAGCAGTTCTGGCAGTTCCCAATAACCAAGAAGTGGAAATGACGTAAATGTCTGCTAGGGGAATAAATGGATATAGAAATGTGCTATAGGGCTAGCAAGGTGGCTCGGTGGTGGACGGCTTGCTTAGCATGCATGCAGCCCTGGGTTCAGCGCCTCAGTACCACATAAACAGAAAAAAATGCAAGAAGTGGCGCTGTGGCTAAACTGGTAGATGCTAGCCTTGAGCAAAAGAAGCTTAGGGACAGTGCCCAGACCCTGAGTTCAAGCCCCAGTATTGGACAAAAAAAAAAAAAAACCGCTATAAACATGAGATGGAATATTATTCAACCTGAAAAGAGCAGCTAGGCATGGTGGTTCACACGTGTTCTAGCAGGCACACAGGAGACAAAGGTAAAAGATCAGTCTCAGGCCGGCCCCAGGAAAAAATGCAAAACACTATCTTAGAAATTAACGCAACAAGGGCTGGATGCATGGCTCAGGTGGTAGAGTTCCTGCTTAGCACGTGTGCAGCCCTGAATTCAAGTTCCAGTACCAACAAGGAGTCTGCAGCAGCAGATGGACTGTACAATTGCTGGGTGGTCAGTGCAGCGGCCCTCCCTGGAAGAGGCATCCTGGGGAAGGATAGCCCGGGCCTCACCCTGCGCCACCCACGGCCTTCACCTGCTCTCAGGGAAGGCAAGTGCTAGAGCGGCTTCTGGAGCTTTCCTTTTGCTGGGAAGGCCAGAGGGTGGGTGTGGGACACGGGCAGGTGCCCCATCCTGCCCTTGCCATCTGCACCGGCCTTTGCAAGCCAGGCCAGGCCCACCTCGTGCAGGGCACTTAGAGAGACGCCAGGCCCCACCCGCCCGGGGACCTGCCTGCTGGGCGGTGCATCCAGCTGGGCAGCTGGGAGGCCAGGCAGGCGACCCTTCAGGCTCTGCCCACTAGTGATAGGCTACGGGCTAGTGCCGGTGGCTGCGAGTCCTCCCAGACGGCCCCGAGACGTGGCTCAGGAAGCAGCCTGGGCCCCATGGTGCGGACGCACGCCACCCCGCCCCCCGCCGCGCGGACGCACGCCACCCCGCCCCCCGCCGCGCGGACGCACGCCACCCCCACACACACCGCGCGGACGCACCACCCCCACACACACCGCGCGGACGCACCACCCCGCCCCCACACACACCACGCGGACGCGCCACCCCCACACACACCGCGCGGACGCACCATCCCGCCCCCACACACACCGCGCGGACGCACCACCCCCACACACACCGCGCGGACGCACCATCCCGCCCCCACACACACCGCGCGGACGCACCACCCCCCCACACACACACCGCGCGGACGCACCACCCCGCCCCCACACACACCGCGCGGACGCACCACCCCCACACACACCGCGCGGACGCACGCCACCCCCCACACACACCGCGCGGACGCACCACCCCCGCCCCCACACACACCGCGCGGACGCACCACCCCCACACACACCGCGCGGACGCACCACCCCGCCCCCACACACCGAGTGGACGCACCACCCCCACACACACCGCGTGGACGCACCACCCCGCCCACACACACCGCGTGGACGCACCACCCCGCCCCCCACACACCGCGTGGACGCACCACCCCGCCCCCACACACACCGCGCGGACGCACGCCACCCCCACACACACACCGCGCGGACGCACGCCACCCCGCCCACACCGCGTGGACGCACCACCCCGCCCCCACACACACCGCGCGGACGCACCACCCCCACACACACCGCGTGGACGCACCACCCCGCCCCCACACACACCGCGTGGACGCACCACCCCGCCCCCACACACCGCGCGGACGCACCACCCCCACACACACCGCGCGGACGCACCACCCCCACACACACCGCGTGGACGCACCACCCCCACACACACCGCGCGGACGCACCACCCCGCCCCCACACACACCGCGCGGACGCACCACCCCCACACACACCGAGTGGACGCACCACCCCGCCCCCACACACCACGTGGACGCACCACCCCGCCCCCACACACCGCGTGGACGCACGCCACCCCCCACACACACACCGCGCGGACGCACCACCCCGCCCCCACACACACCGCGCGGACGCACCACCCCCCACACACACCGCGTGGACGCACCACCCCGCCCCCCACACACACCGCGCGGACGCACCACCCCGCCCCCACACACACCGCGCGGACGCACCACCCCCCACACACACCGCGTGGACGCACCACCCCGCCCCCACACACACCGCGTGGACGCACCACCCCGCCCCCACACACACCGCGTGGACGCACCACCCCCACACACACCGCGCGGACGCACCACCCCGCCCCCACACACACCGCGCGGACGCACCACCCCGCCCCCACACACACCGCGCGGACGCACCACCCCCACACACACCGCGTGGACGCACCACCCCGCCCCCCACACACACCGCGCGGACGCACGCCACCCCCCACACACACCGCGCGGACGCACGCCACCCCCCACACACACCGCGCGGACGCACCACCCCGCCCCCACACACACACCGCGCGGACGCACCACCCCGCCCCCACACCGCGTGGACGCACCACCCCCACACACACCGCGCGGACGCACCACCCCGCCCCCACACACACCGCGCGGACGCACCACCCCGCCCCCACACACACCGCGCGGACGCACCACCCCCACACACACCGCGTGGACGCACCACCCCGCCCCCACACACACCGCGCGGACGCACGCCACCCCCACACACACCGCCGCGGACGCACGCCACCCCCCACACACACCGCGCGGACGCACCACCCCGCCCCCACACACACCGCGCGGACGCACCACCCCCACACACACCGCGCGGACGCACCACCCCCACACACACCGCGCGGACGCACCACCCCGCCCCCACACACCGAGTGGACGCACCACCCCCACACACACCGCGCGGACACACCACCCCCACACACACACCGCGCGGACGCACCACCCCGCCCCCACACACCGCGCGGACGCACCACCCACACA